AAAATGCGAGTACGAAAGCGACTGTATCTTGACCAATACAAAGACATCTCGTGTGCAGAACGTCGTCATCATGTCTGTCGCGCGCAAATTTTTGTATTACCTTACTTCATAAAGAAAGTTTGCGCAGAAGTACATCGCAGTGAGTCCGGATATTGTTTATTGACAAGGTTTGATAAAACAAAACTAAATTTCATCTGAAAATGGCAGGAGGAGCAGGGAGAAGTTAGTTCATGCTTTGTAATATAATATTTTATATCTTTATTCAGTTTAATTCTAGAACAGACAGTTTTAACGCCATTTTTGAGAACGCTAATTTACGCTACCTTTTGACCACTTAGCTCAATCTCTAAAACGAGTTTCGAATTTTGAGTTTCAGTAAAATGTAAGGTTTGTGTCTAACGAGCAGTTTTTGTTCCCATCATTTGCAATGTGCTGATTTGTGCGACCACGGGTGAAAAGGAAATAAGATGTTTTTGAGGCAAAAACCAAACCTCTAGATATCTGGTAAAGATGTCGGCAAGATGGCTTTCTAGAATTAGATTCAGGATAACCTTTTTTTAGTTAAAGTTAAAGAAAGTGTATTCTTTAACTTAAAAAAATTGAAAACTTCTAATATAATATCATTTTTAATATAGAGAAAAGGTAAACGACGGCGGGAAATATCCTTAGTCAGCGCTTTGCATTGGGCGTCTTGCAAACTGAAAACCATGGCAACAATCAACAATCCTCCCGCAAAAACTCTTTGATACATGTTATCTCAATAAGTGGAGTAAGATCGGTAAATATCGCAAAGAAGGTTGCAGATCTACTTATCTCGATGAATTACAATATAGAACGCTTTTCAACAAAATATCGTAAAACGAAACCAAAGTAATCACAACAGCAAATCAGATGGACAGCAAATGCCTTGAAGATGAGAACTCAAAGTAAAACCAATCAAACTGCCTGAAAACGTGAGGGAACAAGTGGTGATTGGTTTAATTTTTGTACCTGATTAGTAGAAAGAGTGGCGCGAGTTTTCTGGTCGCTGCGATTGGCGTAGGAATTCGCTGATATGTAGCATGTCAGATATCGGCCATTGTCTCTGGCAATCAAATTCGCTGCGATCGGCGAATTATTCACCGAGTAAATCTTCGGCTTAAGAGACTTTTTGACAGTTATTCGACAAGGTTGAGCAAACTATCGTGATTTGTCAGTGGCGTGCATAACATATTATTCATCACTGTTTAAATTTCATGAGAATTGCCAAGAAAGGAAAAGAAAACAAAGGGAAAAAGAGAATTTCACTTTACCCTCTAAGAAAAAATTGGTAGTCTATTTCGATTCTGTTATATTATTCGTAAGCGGTATTAAATTTGAATAAAAACTCTGCGAATTTACCATGCAAGATATAACTTGCCCGCGCAGAATCGCAGACCCTAGAGCGACCCTAGCAAGGAGAGAGAAAGCAAGTAAAAACGGCTTTTATTTTAAAACATTTTGCCTTCCCGTAGCATGTTTCTGAATTACAGTTAAGATGTTTCAGTTTTTGAATTGGTCAAATAACAATCTTGGCTACATACTAAAATTTTTAAAAGCGCAACGGGTGTGGCCATCACGTCCATGATACATGGCAACAATTCGTCCTCATGGTCAACTTTGTTTTGGAGTGTCGAGCATAGTCACAAGGTCTGCATCTCCAATTCTTACGCCAGCGAAACAGTTGGCGATGTTATTCTTTGATCGGCGAAAATCGGCAGGTGTGCCCGCTGCAGCGATGACTGTTTTCAGCACTGATCGCCGCGATCGGCATATAAAATCGCTGATAACTGGCATGTCAGTTTGTATTAGCGGTTTAAGGTGTCGGGATTCTGAATTCCAATTCGGTCGGCTGCTAAGGGCAGGAACACATTATTTGCGCCATTTCCTCCAATCGCCATCTTTGACGTCTTAAAAACAGATGTGTTTTCGACAGATTCAGTGGCCACCTTTCCTTCCGTTTGGCCCGAGTGAAATGATGGTTTGGGGTTAGTACAACCTAGTTTGGTGATCTGAGCTCGGGTGTACGGGTGTTCTATGGAAGATCCGAAGGAGCAAAGACTTCCAACTTCAAGCCATGTTCGTTAGGAGATCAAGTGATTCTCTAACGTTTCGTCGTCCCATTCTAAGCCCTTTCGATGCAAGTCCTGAAGAAAAAGCATCCCTTGAAGAATAAACGAGCTGCCCTCCCCAGCGGGTCATGAGCGGAATTGACCATTGAAAGTATACCACGCCTAATACAAAGTCGATCTTTAATGAGCACTTTGAAATCAAACGTGCTAGTCGAGACGAATGTACCAAGATACAACCAGGTGCATCACTGTTGCGTGTCTCCCATTGCAGATGACAGTGCGCACAGGGCTTCTTCTTGCAGCATCCCATCGATTGGTGTCTTTTTTTGAAACACGAGAAATACAGGCTTGTCTTTCAAACGAAATCAAAACGTTCGCAACGCAGACGGGACTAATTAAAAAAACCTACATGACGCACTCTTCCTACTTTATCAAGAATACGATCATTGATGTCTCGCCACCCGTTCTGCATCTTAGTAGGCAGTCTCTTTATAACATTTCTTATGTTGTCTGGGATTTAAACCATGTTGAGATACCCGGTAGTTTTGAGGATGTTGGTGCAATCGAACAGGAGAATTGAAACACCTACAGATATAGCTTCCTTCTGGGTTAAGGTACAAACAGCTACGCACATTCTGTTGAGCTCTTCCTTATGTGTTGCTCCTACGGATACAATCTGCCTGCAATTTCATGTTTATTTCCTTCGATAACAGTCTCGAAGACATGCGCGAAAAAATATTGAACGGGGCTTTTTTTCTAGATTACGAGTTTTCTGCTGCTGATACGAATTCATCCATCACACAATTTTGCCGTTCAAGATTATAGTTGGCTTGGTCTTCAAGGCTAAATTCGTCATCGAGGTCTAAACTAGAAGATCTTGGAACCGTTTTTGCTAAGTCTTCTGACTCACGGGCACGATAATCGCATCATAAATATGGGCGAATCAAATTCTGCATGGAGCTCTGGGAGACCTCCTCAGGAGGATTGCCCTCGCGTGGTGCGGATAAGAGAGCATGGATGCGACGCCAAGAGTAGTCCTTCCAACATTTACCTTTGCATACTCGTCTTCCCTAGCTACTGCCTTCTGGTGTTTCTTTTCTAGTTTAAGCTGGTCACATTGATGGTTATTTTGAGAAACCATGAGAGGTGAGAGCAAGAGAGCAAAAAAGAAAAGTCTGTGCCTTCTAAGAAAAGATTGAAAAAAGTTTGAATTTCAATTCAAATCTCAGTTTTTATTATTTAGTGCATCCCAAGTTTTTATTATTTGGTGCAGACAACCTGGAAACCTCTCTTTTGGTTAACAGGACGAGCGAGATTTTGCCTTCGGGCTCTTGAGTCAAGCGGAATTGGAGTAAGGAGAACTGAAGGTAAATCCATTGAACACTATTTATGAATATGTGTTACATATATTACTTCTTCTGTTTTTAATGGGTGTGCTTAAGGTTTGGTGAACAAGGCTGAAGATTTTTTTTCAACTGCAGTGTTATGACTAAAACCTGGTAAACTGTAAATAAATTGATTAAGGTAGAATTTACACCCAAGAACACATCAGTAGATAATTATATCTGATAAATATCATTCATAATGCTGTTACTATCGTTATTATCGTTGCTCATAAATGCGGTTCAGAATTTGAACGTTTATATCTTTATCACAGACCGAAACACGAGGGTACAGACCCGAATTAATGTGAGTATCTTAGTATATATGGGTAAAATTTGTTACTTTACTAAAGTAACAGCGAAGAAAATTATAAAGGTGAAGGTTTTTAAAGTGGATATTTTTCCGAGAGCGAGGCTCAAGGAATGCTGATAGCTTCTATAAACAGAAAATGTTCAAGGTGAAATATTCAAGAGCACTTTCGCGTCAAATATAGATTATTGTGTATTCACAATCCATAGGATATTTTGGCTACGCGCAGGAAAAATCATTTTAGAACAGCTTTCTGACTCTTTATTCCTTTTGATTTTCAAATTTAAGTTCCTTTTTCGGGAACGACAGCAAATTTTTCCCATCTTCAATGAAATTTTAAGCTAAGTCTTCTATTTCATTACACGTTAGGTTTGAAAAATTAGGGATTATCACTCAGCGAAAAAATAACAATTATTCTATGAGCACGCGTGAGCGTTTGGATATCTGGAGACCTTTAGCAGCTCCACAATAGTTCGCGCAACACATTTCAATTTAAGATGATTCAGAGTATGAGCTGATAACGAAAGCTGAGTGAAGAAATGATATTTTCCGAGTTCAAAATTTGATAACACCATATATCCCCCAATTTTCGGTCGGGTGACACGTTACGTTTGATATATTAGAATGTGGAATATTCTTTTTCTGAGGTGATTATGGATAGTCACAGATCTTTCGATCCGCTGGGTATAACGGAATAGGCTTCTCTTCTTTGTTTATTATTCCACATAATAGTGTCGACCTAGTTCTAATATTTGGCGATAATTTTAGTTACCAAGATTAAGTATTGGCTGATAACTTAAACGGTGAAGACGTGAATGAAATACCGTGAGTGTTAGCAAGCAAGGTCAAAAGGAAAATCCAGGCAACCTCTCACTTTCCATTGTATTTTAGCGTACAAATGTCAAATAGAAGTCTTTTGTCTATTTCTCTCTTTTAATGTAAAACTACACGTACACAGGAACAACAACGAAGAAAAGAGCAAGAAGAGCTCGAGAGGTATGAGTATAAACGATAACGGGAAATTTTTAAAACAAATGTTTATTAACAAGCAAGGAATATGATCTTTTTCCAGTAAAAAGTTAGAAAGCACCATAATCTTCTAGGGGGTCCATTAGATTTTAAAATTGATAGGAGACAGGTTTCCATGGTTACACATTAGGTTACATTCGCATGACTTTTTTTCGACAGCCAAAAGGAGGCATTTAAGTCCAAGGTAATAAAGCCCAGCGAGAAGCTAGAAAAGGAGAGGAACTTAAAAAGGAGTTGAGTCAAGCAAAGAGCGATTTAGAAAATAGAACTGCTAAACTGCAGACAAAAGCAGGTAATCTTCAAAGTGCACAGGAAGACATCACAAAACTTGACCAGCAACTCAAGGAACAGAGGGTAAATTTTTTAAGAGTTTTTATTCAATTTTCATTGGTCATAAAACGTTCATGTCAATATTCGCGTGATAAAAAAAACTTTTAGGCTTACCTTGGTCATGGATACTTCTTTAATTAGAGAGGAATAGCTTTCAAGTGTTGATGATCATATATGATTTATTTCAGATACTGAACGAAAAAGCTATGGAGTATACAGATTTGTAGAATGCTCGCCTAAACAAAGTCCAGCAAGATTTTGATCAGCAACTTCTCAGCATTGATCGGCTGGCCACGGAAAACTCACAGAAAGCTGCCGAGTTGGAGGCAAAGGAAGATGAGATAAACGGGCCGAGACAGGAAACACCGCACGAAAGCGCAATGGCAGAAGCCATCCAGAGAAAGCTGAGAGCCATTAAGTACCAGAAGATTGAGGTTGAAAAACGGGAAGAAACTCTTAAAAGAAAAAGGCAAGTGGAATGATGGTATGAGGAGGGAATGTTTGTCTTTTTTGAAACTAGACAGATCTCAGACATATCTGGCTTTCCCTTTCCTTTCCTCAGTTATAGAGTAGCTCGAAAAAGGCAAAGTCACCTTAATCGTGATTTTACGTGTAGATTTAAGGGATTAACAAATATAGACAAGGTCAACTACAATTTGCAGCTTTTTCCAAGTATTATCCGGTTAAATAAGTTATCTTTGTTGTATGATTAGTACTAAGGTGAGCTGAAATTTATGCAACGGCAGGAAAGAAGCTTTACCAGTCTCCCAGACACTAGTTGGGAGCAACTACCAACTAAGCTACGATGCCACACGCTGGGGGCACGGCACATTTTAAAGGATTCTTATGATAATAAACTTTTAGTTCGATGTTAGCAATTATGTTGGTATCCATTGTGGTAAATGTTTTGATAGATATGATGCACGATATGGTGCCAGGCGAACAATTCATATTGATTGCCTGACTCAGTATGGTGAGGTAAACGAGAAAACATCTATAAAAAGTTTTTTGTTGTTGTTAAAATCTATTTCGTTACAAATGATGATAACTAGATTGTCAAACATACTTATCAGATAAGATTACTCAAATGAGATGTAACCTTACAATCTATAAACTCTCTCTTCCTCTATCATAATCAGAACTTGAATCAAGCAGAAAGCAAGCTGAAGCAGATAAAAAAGCCATTGATGATCTTGTATGTGAAAGGGACATCCTTAACCAGGTA